GTTAAAAAGAAAGAATATAAAGAACATTATCTTGTTGTAGAATTCAAGAATGGAAATGTATAGAGACTTACTGGTTGGTGTCCAGAAGGACGACGTTGGGAAGAGGAAGGAAAAATCACAGAAAAATACCCACTCCAAGAAACAAAAACTGACGATTACAAAGAAAGGACCGAACTAAACGTTAAAGATGCAGATGCCACTTTAATAATGAAATTTTCAACTTTTGATTCCGATAAAGATGGAACAGGTCTTACTATTGACAAAGCCAATGAATTAAATAAACCGTTGAAAATTGTTAATTTAGACGAAGACGTAAAAAATAATATTAGTGAAGTTTTTAAATGGATAAAAGAAAATAATATCAAACATTTAAACATGGCCGGTCCTCGAGCAAGTACTTGTGAAGGAATTTATGATAAAACATTAAGATTTATGAGTTTCTTGTTAAAGGAATTAGAAGATTACCAAAAATTAATTGAAAAAAATAATTGTATATAACTTTTTTTTTTTATAATATTAAATGTGTTTAATAATATGGTATTTATGTAAACTAGAGATGTGATCCGTTATCCATTTTCATACTTAAAATTTAACAGATATAGATATGGAATTAAGTTTTGATTTAGAAGAAGATGGCACCGTAGATGACCAGGGAGCAAAAATATCGCGAATCGATGATAGTTTAAATGAATTCGATAATTATGTATCACAACGTATTGAAGAGAGTGAGATCATTCAAGAAAATAAAGCTCAAAGTTTAAATTTTAAGAATCAGATAGGATTATTAAACTTTTATTAAATGTATTTACAGAAATACTAATTTTATTAAATTAGCTAAAACGTCTTTTATTTATTTTTTTAATACATAATTAACTTTACAAGGAATCACAAAAATACAATAATCCACAACCCGATTCAGATTCTGATGAAGAAATCGAGGAACAAGGAGATTTATAAAAAAGATGATTCCAAGGGTGAACAAGTAAATAAGGTGAATAAATCTTATCATTAAATAATTTGTAAT